CTCGGGTCAGCTGTTTCTGTGGGTTTCCCCAGCATGGTCTTGACCCCTTAGAGATGGCTCAGTGTTCCACTGCCAGGAGCCCCATAGACTGCCCAAGACCTGGGGATAGTAGACAAGTGGTGATCCAGGCCGGAAGTGACATAGCAAGGAGACTCATATTTAAGCAAAGGAAACAGGGAATGTTCCCTTTTTTCCCCTTCACCTCCTCCAAGATGTGAGCCACTGGCAAGAGATGGTGCCAGCAAAAGGCATCCTCTATAAAGATAAGTCTTATAAAATATATAGATTTATGATAATTAAGTCTGAGCTAACAGATGAGAAGTCCTAGTCTTGGCCAAGCAGCTTTGAACCTAATACAAGTCTCTCTATGCATTAATTGGGGCCCTAACTCAGGCGGGCGGCTGGCATAGAGCGCACACGTGGTGGTGGGGCTTGGCGGCTTTTGGTGGAACAAATAAATCTTTTTGTGCTGAGAACTTGGTCCTGCAGTATCCTTAGCTGATAGCAATCTCTTTCAAGCCCTCTCCACTTTCTTTGTTGATTCTTTCATTTTTGGAGATGGGGTCCACAGACTGAGTGGCTGAATTAGTGTTGTGGTTTTATATCTTGACTGTTAATCTCTAAGTGCCTATAGCACCTGTGGTTTCCTTCAAGATTACTCAGTTTTATTATATTGTAATATTTGTAATAACTTATCATAGCAGTTATTTGGATATTTTGAAGTTAGAATGTACTTTTTAAGTACAAGTGGGTGTGGTATGTACGAATGAGTGCATACATTAGAGCTCTTCTCTATTGACAGGTCCTTTCCCTTGAGTAAAACAATATTAGGATTTTTTTCTGTCCTGGAAAAGGGGCTAGCGAGATGGCTGAACAGCTAAGAGCAAGTGCTGCTCTTCCCGGGGACACAAGTTCTGTTCCCAACACCCACCCACATCAGGCAGCTCACAACTGCCTGAACTCTAGCTCCAGAGTATCTGATGCCCTTTTCTGTCCTCTGTGGGCAATGCACTCATGTGCACAGACCCACATACAGACATATTTAAAACCACATACAGGCTTGATTTACAAACAAATCTCTGTTTAAAACCCTTTTAGAAGCTTATTTTTAATGATTTTTCTGTCCTTAACTCTCCTTACTAGCAGAATATACCCCATATAAAAGTATGTGTATTTTTAAGTGAAACTTTCAATGGGTCTTAGCACACTGACAATGTTGGAAAATCATCACCTCTATCTAGTTCCAAAATGATCTTCATCATGCTAAAAAAAATCTATTGTCCTAAACTCATCAAGTAGTAATTCCAGCATTTCCTTCCACTGCCCTTCTCAGCCTCTAGAAGTCATTATTTCCAGTCTCTCTGACTTTGACTATTCTAGCATTTCAGATAGGGTTAGGACTCTTTCTAATATGAAGAGAGCCGTCGATGTTTGTTTTGTTGTTGTTGTTGCTGCTGTTGTTGCTGGAGTGTCTCCTCCTGTGTGGTTTTGCTCCATATGGTTTCCATCACATGTGATCAACCTTATGCTGAAAATATTAAATTGTAAAATTCTAGCATGTAAATTGTGCGTACCAGGATAAACTCCCAGGCCATCCCACACTATCACATTCCGGGACATGAATCAACCTTTTGGATGTGTATATACTGCCTGCCTGCTCATGAGGGTGTAGCAGCCACCTTGTTTAGCAGATCAACTGTCACAGAGATTCTGGTCAGATACCTCTTATTTTAATGGCCTCAAAATGTAATAATTTATATAGGAAAAACACAATGTGTACAAGATTTGGTATTTTCTGGCATCCATTTGGAGTCTTGAAATATATCTGCTGTAAATAAAAAAATGGACTGTACTGATCATATAGATTATTATATATCAATGGAAGGTAACAACCTAGCCTACTTTCTAGAGAACAGGTTTCCATTCTAAAAGAGTAAAAGATTTATCCAGCTGTGACTTAAGACGGGGTTAGGGTAAAGGCTGAATCTACGGGCTACCACAGAGGAATATAGGCTACCAGAGAGCACTGGATACGTAAAGGATGGAACAGGTCAGCTGTGTAAACCAGGAAAATCAATATAGAACCCGTGTTAGATAAGACTGAAGAAATACCATTACACAAACATAGTATGGTATCTACAGCATGCAAGGTAACAAAAAAGAGATAGACTTGCTCAAGATTTTTCCGTCCCATGTAGAGTTCTTTCTGCAAAGTAGACATTGACTCAGCTGCTTGACTGAACATCAAGAAGGCATATGGACTTCCATCCTACCTTGTTGGCTCAGCCCTCATATTAGTCTCTACACACATTCTTTATAAAGAAAACTAACTTCCCATTCTTGAGTATATCCATGTCTGGGGCTCTCATTGTGATGAACATCTGGTCAACCATTATCCTACAAGCCATGTTATTTCTAGGCCCGTGGGAGGGGTGGGAGTGGTCTTTGCGCAGCTCTGATCCTGTGTGCCAGGCGTTTCTTCCGACTGTGCCAGTCCTCTGCCAAAAGCCCCAGCAAGAATATTATTATCATGGCACCAAGGCATATTCGGACCAGATTCTCTCTGGCATAGCGCTGGTGGGAAAAACCTAAACAAAAGAATAAAGTTGAAAAGAGATGTTAAAAAGGTTCATTTCCAGGCCCTACTCTGTATCCCTGATTGAGTTTCTATTATCTTCCATCAGTTAAGATGCTCATCACCTTCCCATTGGGTCTTTCCATCCCCACCAAGGGTCAGAACTGAGTAAACCCAACTCTCTATCCTGTGATGCTCTCATAGATCCTCTCCTAGAATCCCAATGCAATCCCTCCTCAAATACAACCAACACCTGTTTATATTGCTGGCTTATAAGATAACTGTAAGAGAGTGAGGGAGAGGGGTAATGTCCTTGTTTGACTATTGGGAAAATTTCAACCTTCCCATTTAATCTTCTTGAACACTTGTGAATTCCATATTCTGATATTCTACTCGCTTTGATGTTTTATGCACCAGGTCCCAAGATAACAGAATTATATATCCCATGTACAGGGAAAATAGTCTGCCCCAAATGGAGAGATGGGATAAAAAGGAAGTGGATATGAACAGGACCACTTACCAAATGGAGGACTTGACCCCTGTGGAGAGACAGTGGTATTCCTAGACTTCTCTAAGAATGAAAAAAGGCCAAGTGTCAACAAATGGAAACATTGCTCCTGCTGGATACAAACATGTGTTCTCATGTGCTTGTGAGGCAGAAGTCTATGACATTTAATAAGAACACAAATCATAGAAACAGGATGCCAAGATTTGACTTCCCTGTACATCACTTAGTATATAAAAGACCTTTGAAAAATATCTCAACAACTGTGATTTGATTTTACCATGTATCACCTGCAATTGATTCTATAATGCAATGGGTTGACTTATAAATAATAGTGTAGATTAAGCATTGATAATCTGGAAATGCAAAGTGTGAAATACAACAACATTTGATATTTCTAAGCACTGGCATGATGCCACAAATGAAAACAAAATCCACACCTGATCCCTATAGGACAAATTTCAGTCAAAACTCTGGTGATCTGGAAGTAACTGTGGAGGGGAAATAGTATGAACAAAACCTACTGAATGAAACTTTGATGATCCCTCATAGGAGGCCTCACCCTCCCTGAGGAGTGGATGAATGGTGGGGTGGGGGAGGGGGATGAGAGGATGGTAGGGAGAGGGAACTGGGATTGGTATGTAAACTAAGATTGTTTTTAATTTAAACAAAAATTAATTTTAAAAAACCTACTGTATGCACAAATTTCTTTAAAAAATGAAATATTATGTAAAATCACCTCTCGTCTACATATATAATGTGTATATAAACTATAAATGTGGGTCTGGTGTGGTATTATCCATCTTTAATGCCAGCACTTGGGAAGCAGAGGCCAATGAATCTTTGTGAATCTGGGGTCACCCTAGTCCACGTAGCAACTTCGAATCCAGCCAGGGTTACATAGTGGAACTCTGACACACACACAAAAAAACATAAATGGGGCCAGAAAGGTAACGTGGCTGGTTAAGTGCTTTGCCTAGCATGGATCAAGCCCTGAGTTTGATAGCCAGCACCACATAAACTGAGCATGATGGCACATGCCGTAATCCCAGCATTCAAGAGGTAGAAATAAGAAGAACAGATAAGAAGAACAGAAGTCCAATATCATCCTCTCGTGTGTAGTAGGATTGTGGGTAGTCTAATCTACATGAAATTCTGACTCAAAGAAAAGTGTCTATAGATGTTGCTGGTAGGAAACAGAAACCCATCCTCATGCCTCGTTTGTACTGAGCTTTAAACGCCTACTTACCAGTTGTAGATATCTTGGTAGAAGGTAAGTTGGAAGATCTCCTGGAGAGGTCTAAGAGTTATAAGCAGAAATATGAGAAGGAAATGAAATAATAACAATTCATCCCAGGTGGCCTCATCCTCCAGACCCCTTCTGAGATATCTGAGTTCTCTATAGTTCCCTCGTCCATCAAACATTGCCCAATTGCTGAGATTACAAAATTCAAACAGCCCCAAACTTAGTGCCCAGTGGCTTCGAAGAATTGGACCATTTCTCAACTGATAGACATTTAAGTTGTCTCCACTTTGAGGCTGGTGTGAATAGTGCTGTTGTAAGTATCCAAGTGTAAGTGTTTGTGTGAACATAATGAGAACGCCCCTTCCATGGGTTCATAGATTTGAATGTCTGTTGCCCAGTTGATGAAACTGTTGGGGAAAGTTTAGCAGGTGTGGCCTCATAAGAGGAGGTGTGTCTCTGGGGGTGGGCTTCGAGGTTTCAAAAGCCCACGCCACTCAGCTCACTCTCTCTGCCACATGCTTGTGGATCAAAATGCAAGCTCTCAGTAACAGCTACAGTGCCACGCCTGCCTTCTGCTGCCAAACTCCCCCACCACGGTGGCCATAGACTCACCCTCTGGAACTGTAAGGCCAAATAAATGCTTTCTTCTACAAGCTACCTTGATAATAGTGTCTTATCGTGGCAACAAAAAAAAAGTAACTAAGACAGTAAGTTTTCAATTTTCAAGTCTTCAATTTTTTTTGTACCCGCCGAAGAATTTCAGAATCACTAGGTCATGGGATAATTCTGTTTAACTTCTGAGAGACTACAAGACTAGTTTTCAAATTATATGCTTTATTTGGCAACCCCCACCCCTGGTAATGTAGAAGGCTATAAATCTTTCCAACACTTGTCTTAATTGTTTATTTGGTTGGTTGGTTGGTTGGTTGGTTGGTTGGTTGGTTGGTTGGTTAGTTGGTTGGTCGGTTGGTGTCTATTTAGCTTATTGGTTGTTTGATGGGTTGCTTGGTTTGTGTTTGTACAGTTATAACCATCTTAGTGGACACATGGTATGTGAATTATATCTCAGTTTTAAACAAGTGTCATGAGAAAACCAGTTACTAGCCTCTTGTTCAGGAGGTTCCTTCTCTCCTAAATCCATTGTCTTCACTTGAGACTGCCTATTATTTTTGCCAAAATGTTTCCTGAGCCCATTAAGCCTGTGAGTAAGCATAGGTTGGTCCCATGCAGGCTCCCTGTTGGTCCAGAGTTCATGAGCTCTCATGAGCTCAGGTCAGCTGCCTCTGCAGATTACTCCATCATGACCTTGACCCCCACCCCTGTTGGTAAAGTCTCTCTTCCCTTTCTTCAGGAGAACTATAACAGTGGTGTAGCTTGATCTGTGTGTAAGGCTCCTAGCAGTGGGATCAGGACCTGTCCCTGGAATGCTTAGCCATCTTTTAGGAACCCAAGCTGGATTACCTGGCCCAGCCTTTATGCAGGGGGAGGAGCTCAGTCCTACCTAAACTTGATGTGCCAAGGTTTGTTCAAGCCAATGGGAGGCCAGCCCCTTTCTGAATGGAGACGGAGGAAGAGTGGATGGGGAGAGAATAGATGGGAGTGGGGGAGGAGAAAGAGGAGAGGAGAGAGTGGAAACTGTGGTCGGTATGTAAAATAAAAATATTAATTAAATAAAATCAAATATTTATGTAAAAAAGTCCTGTGAGTATGTGCCTCCTGAGGATGGGGACTACATTTTAGGGTACCTTCATAGTAGAACTTCATGCCCCAGACACGAAAAAATACTGAACGTACCTGTTGTGGGAGACGACAACTCTGTGGATACCTGGCGGGGAGTGGCAGAGGGTCCTGAGAATTCAGAAGAGAAGTCAGTTCCCTCCCTTTAAGTCTGTTAACTGTGGATTCTGAACAAACAATGAGACATTTCTGGGGCTTGATTTTTCTCAAATAGCAAATGAAGATGCTTCCATTGCAGACAGGTTGAAGAGCATGCTTGGCCTGTTCCCTGGTGCATTCTACAGCTGCTTCCTTACCTTTATCTTCCATGGGTTCTTGTCACCTATACCCTCACTTGTCATCTGTCACTTGACTGGCACTTGTCCCCAGAAATTGTTTGTGGAGACAAGAACCATGGGTAAAAGTTTTGGGAATGCATCAGGAATCACAGGTGAGAGGGAGCATGCATTGGGAAAAGAGGTAAATATTGGCAACAGTATACAGTATTCTGAGGATTAGAGTAGAACAGCATGTGATAGCCCTATTTTCCATTCATTCATTCATTCATTCATTCATTCATTTTTTGGTACTTGGAAGTGAACCTGAGTGTCTTTTGCATGCTGGGTATGTGCCCTACCAGAGATACATCCAGTTCATTATTTTAAATCATATTTATAATCTATAGCAATTCAGACTTTTGGCTCTTTAATAATGTTTTCGTGTTTCTATCCTATGGAAATATCACAACGGACAGTCAAAAAAATAGACCGAAGGTGCAACCCAGCTGGGATTGCTTGCTTAGTACGCACAAAGCCCTGTGCCCATGCTGGCTCAAGCCTGCAGTCCCAGTACTCACAAGTTCAAGGTTCTCCCCCACTACATAATAAGTTCAAACCAGCAAGGGATACATAAGACCGTGAATTTAAAAAATAAAATTTTAAAATAAGGAGAAAAAAAAATAAGGTACTATAAAACCAAAGCAAACGTGAAAGGGTCGTTTGACATCCAAAGGGATCATGACCCACAGGTTGAGAATTGCTGTTCTAGATAGTTTTTCTTCAGCTTTCCTGTTGTGTGTCAATAAGAGACTTTATGTATCTATATAATATCTATGACCCACAAATGAGAGAAAAAGTAATGTTTGTCTTTATGCCTAAAAAAAATCCCTTTTTAAGAACTCTATTTAATTTTCATTATCCATCCCTCTGCTGATGGACATGTAGGTTGATTGTGTAACTTAACTGTTGCGTTACAATTAAGTGATGGTGTGCAACTGTCTCTATGATATATATATATATGAGTTATAAGCTTTTAGTTTGCTAAAGAAGATCTATATTGATTTCCATGGTGGTTGGCCTGTTGTACGTTCCCAGTGGCCATTGATAATGGTCCACTTGTGTTCATATTCTCATCAGTGTTTGTTATTTATTTTTGTTTCTTTGTTTTTTATCAATGATCACCATCCTGACTGGGGTGAGTTGGAATCTCAGAAATCTTCTTAATCCACACTTCTCTGGTGCCAGCAAAGTGGAGTGCATTTGTGTTTATAGCAGTAGCAGTTTGAGAGGCTGAATTATTTTTCCTCATACATTCCTTAAATCGGTTTTATACCTTACCCGGTCTGACTGGAATAGCAATAATTGGCAGCTTTGTTTTTACAGATTTATTACTTTCACAGTGTTAAGGTAATAAATCTGCGTTACAGTGAGCCAGCAAGAGTCTGTGGTGATTCGTTACAGCAGCTGTGGGACACTCATACACCTCCAAAGCTGATGGGAACTGGAGGATCTCTTTGCCCACACCTCTGACTCGCTTAGTATTTCCACAAGGGTTTGCAAGTGCCAAAGAAAAGAATCGTGCATCAGGACCTACTTACCTGTAACCACAAGCACCAGGGGGTCGCTGGGGGCTGACCACTGGTACGGAGATGAGCTGGAAAAGCTGTAACACCTGTAAATCCCACTGTGAGCCGGAGTCACTGTGATGATGGGGAAATCAGCCCGGTACCAGCTCTCCAGGTTCTTATAAAGCTCGGTATTATCCCGGTACCATCTCTCGGGTTTCTTATTAGACCCAGTATCCCCTTCTTTGTATAGAACAAATTGATCAAAGCCATACTGGGTCTGGCACTGCAGGGTCACATCCCGGCCTGGAGGAACCACTGAGCCTGGATGAGCTGAGAGTGAGGGCTTATGGTAAACACCTGGGAAGAAAGACAGTGTTAAAGACAGGAAACACCCTGGGGAGATGACTCTGTCGGTCATCTCCTGTGCTTACTGAAGGCTCTTAGAATACACGGCAGTCTAGCTCAGGCCTGCACAGGCCTCTTATGGGCATGCCTTCCAGAGGCTCAAGAAACATTGAGGAAGAGGGAGCAGAAAAAAAAAAAACTAACAGTGTGGAGACGGTTTACAGAACGCGGTCTTCAGAGCATGACACAGGCATTGCAAACATGATCTCACAGCAGCTATGGTTAGCTATACAAGATCAAGCCAGTTTAATATTGGAGAGGAGAGGGCCTCCATAACTGGGGAATTGCTGGCAGTTGACAGCTGCTAGAGGTAGGAAAATCTTTTCCAGGTTTGGTCCTGTTAGACCCCCGGAAAACTCAGGCCTCCGGGGTCCCAGCCCAGGACCGAGGTCACCCCAATCACCAGGCAGATTCGAGAGCTTGATGCAAACTGCATGAGGCTTTATTAATTTTTTAATGAGCTAACCCCATGTTAGCTCGGGTTTTTCACCCACCCGCCATGGTAGATGGCTAGGAAAGACACTGCGAAGTGTCTACATAGAGATCTTATAGGGCAGCGTAAGGGGGGTGTCTAGGGGTACACACAGGCTCAGGATTGGTGTGCCTCCAGGCTTGGAGGGCTTGCCCTGTGTTGATTGGCCAACTGGTTGTTATGGCCCATAGGCCCTCCCAGGGTGGTTTCTATGCCCTGCGCGTCATTGCTGTGCGCTTGTCCATAAAGCACACCCAGAGTTGTAAAGCATAGCGCCACCAGCTAACATCTGATTGGTTCCTTGTCACGAGGCAGGCACCTAACCTCTAGTGACTAAGGCAAGGTCAGAAAAGCACATGTTTCTGTCATGGCTGTCGAAATGGGGAGCTGGTCCCTTCAGTCCCATACCCGTGCCCAGATGGGTACCTCTGAGAAGACTTAGTGAGTTTTGTTTAAAGAGGAAAACATGAAGTTGAGAAGGGATGCATTAGGAGAAATGGCACGCAGTCGGAGGTGGGAGACAGGAGATGGTTATGATTGCATTTCATTGTTTGCAGGCATGAAATTCTCCAAGAATAATTTTTAATTGTTTCATTAAAACGTTATTTGTTTGATTAATGACTGTCCTGGAGACACCACGTCCCTGTGTTCAGTAAGACCAATGACTCATTGGTCTCATTCTAACTCTAGCATCAGGGAATTTAGGGGTTTACCATCTGGCACCCGAATGCCCCTCTTTCACCCTCGCCAAGGGCAGAACTGAAGGCCAAGCAGCCCGAAGCCAAAAGACCAACAACACTCCGTCCCTCCCCGTCCAGTTACCTGTAGCAATTAACTCGAGCTGGTCGCTTGCGGGAGACCAGTGACTCCCATTCTGATACGAACAGCGGTAGCGTCCAGCATTACTTGTTTTCATGGTCGGGATAAAGAGAAAGTTCTGATTTTCATACTCCTTCGATGTCAGTTTCTCCAGGCGATATAAATCCACGACTGGAGGCCCCTGGCACCGAAGAGTGACTGACTGCTTCAGGGGCACCAGGTCACTGGGATGAGCCCTGAGTGAAGGCTTAGGGAATGGGCCTTGGAAGGGAAGCATAGCCTGTAGGTTAGCGCCAATGAAAACAGGTCCCTTTTGAGTCCTGGCATACCCTCCGACCTCTCACTAGCTGAAGGCTTGAGGTTACTAGAGAGATGTACTCACCACTCTGTGCTTGGATCGCTTGTAGTACACACAGCCCTGAGGGAAAGAACAAGCGGCTAGACACTCCCTTGAGTAGACACATTAGTTTTTATCACAATTATCTTACATTGGCGCTGATTTTAATTATCTTATATTTGCATTGATTTATGCAACACAGGCTGACCTCGAACTTGCTCTGTAACAGAAGATGACCTTGAATTTATGATCACATTGCCTCCATTCCAAGGGTGTTGGGATTGCAGGCATCACCACACCTGAAACCCAGGCCATCACCAATGCTAGGCAAGTCACCTACATACCCAGACCATAATTATTTTTACTATTTCAGAAGACAATGCTGTACACCATTCAAATGGAAAAGGCCAACTCTCAAAACCAAATCCCAGCCAGGAGAGGAATGGTGAGAGTGAACCCTCAATGGTGAGCTATTGGCATCTGATAGCTACTAGGAGAGAGAGTCCATTTTCTTTAAGGGTGTTACCCACCCAGCCACCCACACCCCCCACCATAACTTGACCATGATCCAGTGGAAGCCCACATACCTTACAGTATACAGGCGGCACAAATTACTTGACAGACTTAAATTTTAAACACGCACACATACACACACAATGTTGTGTAAATAGTGAAAAGTAGTGGATTGTGGGGGAAGTGAATGTGATCTAAACACACCATACACAATTCCCAAATAACTCTTTTTTTTTTTGAAAGTTGAAGAAATGTTGATTTTACTTATGTGCAATGTCCAGAAAACAAAGCAAAGCCATAGATGCAGGATGCAGGAAACAGGCCAGTGCTTGTGTGGGATGATGGGAGCGGGACCATAGGGAGGTAGGACTGCTTAGTTGATGGCAGATGTCCTTCTGTATGCTATGAATATGTGTTTCTCTTATTGGTTGATGAGTAAAGTTGTTCGGGCCAATAGACAGGCAGGATTTAGTCAGGCAGCAAATCCAAACAGGGACATAGAAAGGTAGTAGGCAAGTCAGGAAGATGCCATGTAGCTGTGGGGGAAGCAAGAGATCCAGACATCACCAATAAGCCAAGACCTTGTGGAGATACATAGATTCATAGAAATAGGTTAATAATTAAGAGACAGCTAGCCAATAAGAAGCCTGAGCCATCGACAAACAGTTTCTAATTAATATAAGTCTTTGTGTGTTTATTTGGGACTAAACATCTGTAGGATGGGACAGGACAGAAAATTCCATCTACACTTAATAAGTGTAGAGTTTCTTTGGGAGTAGAAAGAATGTCATGGAAGAAGAAAGACATGCTGGCTGTACCGTATCATCAATGTACTAAATATCACTAGTAATTTTTAATCAACTTTCAGGCTAACATACAAAATAATGGGTTTCAGTGTGGCATCTTCATGTGCATACTGTGTTCTCGTTCATTCCCCTCCCACAGTTCCCTCTTCTATGCCTCCTCTAGTTGGTCCCTTCCTTCAGTCCTGTCCCCTCCCAATTCCATTGTCCTCTCTATTTCCCATCTCCCTTAATATTTTAAGATCTCTTTCTGCTCTCTCACGATCCTCTTTCTGGTTTCAAAACCTACACATACAATCACACACACACACACACACACACACACACACACACACACACACACACTTTACATCTAAGTTCCCCATATAAAAGAAAACACTCCATATTATACCAGTACTTTCTCATAGGACCACCAGCTCACAAATAATGACACAGGGACTTATTAATTAGTAAAGCTTCACCATTAGCTTAGGCTTGTCCCATTAGCTCTTCTAACTTGAATAGCCTTTTATTAATCTGCGTTCTTCCACGCAGCTCAGTGACCTCTATTCTGTACTGTGTGTTCAACCTCCTCAGTGTCTCCCTGACATCTCACTGCCATAATCCACAATCCTAGATTTCTCCTCCTCTTCCTCTCTCTCCCAGCTATCCTCATCTGTCTAGCTATTGGCCATTCAGCTCTTTATTACACCAATCACAGCAATGCATCTTCACACAGCGTACAACAAATAATCCCACAAGACCATATTAGCACCTCTTTGAGCTATTTCACTTGACATAAATGTGTGAACTTTTTAAAATAAAAAAATATTTTAAGTCAAAGAGCTGGAAAATTGTTAAGTGATTAAGCGCACTTGCTGCTCATACAGGGCACCTAGGTTTGGTTCTCAGCATCACTGAGTAGTGGCTCACTTCAGTCCAGGGGATCCAATACCCTCTCTTGACTTCCACAGCCATCAGGCTCACACATGGTGCACATATATACATATAGGTAAATACACATACACAAAAAGTAAACATAAGTAAATCTTAAAATATATTTTAAGTCAAAACAAGGATTTCTCCTCACCCTGTTTAGACTCTTCCCACTGTTCCCCAATATACATGCTCTTGGCTCTGTTAGCTTTTCATTTTCATATTTTTATGTCTGTAAAAAATGTAACTCTATATATGCTGCAAACAAATGCCAACTTCCTTAGCAAAGATGGAAATTCAGATGTCTAGACTCACAGCCACCATCATCTTATTCTATTTTGTATATGGACTACAGTATCTCACCCATGGCCTCACATCTACTAGTAAACAGATTCAAATGCTAGCAGAAGAATTTAGTGATAAAGGACATACATGTACTTGGGAACTCATAAAAGCAAAAAGAAGGAACAGTGATTGTAGATGGCATGGTAGGGAGAGACTGAGGAAGATAATAGTCAGAGGAGGAGAAATTTCAGTCAGACAGGGACAATTTCCAGAGCTATATTGAATAGGATATTGACTGTTATGATAAATCTTTTCGCCAAAAGCCACCACGTGGGTGGTCTCCACCAGCCGCCTGAGTTCTGCCCGCCACGTGGATGGACAAAATAGTACAGAGACTTCTATTAGGTACAAATGCTGCTTGGCCAATGACTAGGATTCTCATCTGCTACCTCAGTCTTAATTATCATAAAGCTATATATTTTATAAGACTTATCTTATCGGACACATTCCATTGGTGTCCTCCCTTGCTGGTGAGTCACATGGCGCTGATGGAGGAGGCAGTGGAGAAAAGGGGCCACTTCCTACTTCTCCTTCCTTAAATATGAGTCTCCCTGATGCTGCTTGGCCAATGACTAGGATTCTCATCTGCTACCTCAGTCTTAATTATCATAAAGCTATATATTTTATAAGACTTATCTTATCGGACACATTCCATTGGTGTCCTCCCTTGCTGGTGAGTCACATGGCGCTGATGGAGGAGGCAAAGGAGAAA